TCGTATTTGAAATATTAATTAGAATATAAATTATTAAAGTATGATGCAATATATTTTTAAATATTTTATAAGATTTTCTCTTTTTTAAAAAAGCTTATCCTATTTTATATATATATTTTCCTTAACCAAAGAATTAATGCACTTTTTATCAAGAGATAAAAGTAATATTTTTTACACTTAATTACAGGTAGCAAAACTGTACAAGTTATGTCCGCAAGATTCCGCTCAGGGTGTATTTCGTCTGGATCAGAGGAGTCAGGATGCAACTATTGCATTAGGGATTTATTTTTTGGAATCTGGTCTGCAACACCGGGATAAAATTTTGCCCTATCTCTTGAGATTGTTACGTGGTCTTCCAAAGGCGGTGTGGCGGGACGAGATAAAATGTTCGCTCGCCGAACGGGTGCCAGTTGCGGAACGTTTCAGCTTCTGTCTGAACACACTGCTGAGCGATGTGGCGGCCAGGTGCGAACCGGTACGAGAAGAAATTATCTCGACGCAGGTCGAGATACTCGCTGTTCTAACCAATCTAATACGCGGATACAAGGATCAAAATAGCAATAGGGGCTTGCAAGCGAAGAGTAAGTATACACTAGAATCACCATAGTATTCTACAAGAACTACGAAGGTGCCAACTTGTTCATTTCCTACCATTCTTTTTTAGTGAAATTATTTTGATATTATTAGAACTATTTTTGTTGTATTTATATATTATTATTCATATATTTTTAATATTCTATTTTGTGTATCTAATACAAAAAAGAACCGAATTTAAATGATTAGCGGAGCCAAAATGTTACTATTGCTGGTTCTAGTATTAATAGATGTATTGAAATACAAATATAAATGTATTGAAATACAATTGAGAAAAATGTTTAGTTGGATTAATGAAATTCTAGTTGAAAATGAATTCGCTGGTTAAATCTACTAAAATTCTAATTAAAATAATCAGAATTCTGATTGATATAATTAGAATTTTCTAGTTCCATTTTCAACCAAACATTTTTTTTAGAACGGTGTGTTTTGATTTTGCAATAATCAAAATTGAGGACACATATAAATAATAATTTTTGAAAGAAAAAAATTATATTTGAAAATAAACTGTATTAGTAGAAAAATTGAATTAAAATTTGAAAAAATAGAAGACAAAATTTAAATTGTATTTCAATCATAGAGTACATTTAATTATAAATGTTATACCTTGCTGTTATTTTAAGATATGTTTTACATTAATAAAAGAAATCCGTTCTAATATTACGTATTGTTTTAGTATCACTATGCAAATGTCTGGTTCCGGTGCTAATCGGTCTGGCAAGATCGATGGGTCGCTTTGCATGTACGGATCCACCGTTGCTTTGCCGCATTTTTCCACGACGAGAAACACCCTCACCAGTGGGCAGCACAGAAAATCGCTTGATGCCCGATAAGAAACAGCACAGTTTTTCAAACTTCAGGCCCATCATCCCACGATCTCTGAGCGGCAATTTTAATTCTTGTCTCGACAATGCATTTCCAGGCTACGACAGTCACGATTATAACTGCGGCAAAAGACCGTCACTGCAATCCTTCTTGTCAGTTCCGTACGATCCGACGACGTATTTCTTTAGTCGTTATGGGTCGAGTTTTAATCAGTTTCCACAGATGCGTTGTAACGAGAGCCCCGAAAGAAGGGCCGGGATGCAATTTACCGTGGTGCATTTACAGAGTGTGCTAGCTTTAGCCAAAAAATTACTTACCAAGGAGATCCTGATATTTCTAGACGAAGAAGCGCAGCAAGTAAGTTTCATATTACACATGATTATTTTTATTTATTTGTATAGATAAAAAATTATATTTTTATTTATACCTCTACATATTATCCTAATTGCTTTTGCAATTTTTTTTCAGGTGTACAATTCTGGTCAAGTACATATTTTCCCATATCGTACGTTTAGCGAGACAATGAATCTAGTGATGGTGGCTTTGTTGCGCGAGTTGTTACAAAATCAGCGCGACTTACCGGCCCCGTTCACGAGGGACGTGCAGGAGTTTGTGAAAGGCCTGTTTCTCTCGGGTCAAACGGAACTGCAATCACGGCAGCACGACGCGAGCGAGCGCGAAGACATCGACACGAATTTCCGGACCGTGAATCGCTTTAAGGTGAACGTAATGGCCAACTCCGCGTGCGTGGATCTGCTGGTTTGGGCAATTGGTGATGAAACAGGTGAGGTGACGCTCTATTTGTCGCTGACGAAACAGAGATCACAAGCCGCGGAAGTGTCTTATAAAATTAGGAGCACCACACTCATGAGAGTAAATAATCTGTACACTGTGGAGGAGTTTCATGATTATATTCATAACTCTAAGTGCATGGACAGTGTGTCTCCGCGAGATATCAATGTCTGTTTCGATTACGCGATACTCGCCCAAGCACAGATCTTTTAAAGCTTTCACGTTATTTTTCCAGTATCCGGCGAATATGATTTGTCCGCGCTGTTCGCAGATATCAGTTCAATGCTGATTGGCAAGGGTATATTGATTTACCCGTGTGTTACATTCTCGTTAACATGTCGGCTATTAATAATTACTAACAATTATATTTTTGCTTAGCACGATAATAATCTTTCGCAATATGTTTGATTAATTTTAAATTGATATAATAGATGAACTGTTAATGTAAGATTGTGCACATAATGGTGGAAATATTAGGA